ATCATTTTCTTGCTTTTCAGATCCTGTAATGTGCAACAGGATGAAACAAATTGGATCATGCAGTTACTAATTGAAACTAGTTTTGATACAGAAATAAGGTTGGAATGAAAGTTTGGCACATATAGCACGTCATATAAAGTTAAATACTCAGTTAACTGAACAGTCCCAATAGAACAAGCAGTAGTACTTTGATCATTAGGTAAATTGATGGAGATAGATACAGTTTTAGGGGTGACAGAGAAAAATGATGCATCACATATCATGTGGTCTGTTGCTCATGTATCTAGTATCCATGTGTTTTTAGAAAATGTGGTCAAAGACATGCAATGATGGGTTTTAGACAAACCTGATGGTTCCTGAATGGCAGTAGCAACTACAACAGGATTTGGTAAAGATCCAGCTGCAGATTGAGCTCCATGTGATCTCTTAAAAGCTAGAAACTCATGAAGAAGATCATTAGTAAGAGAGACAGGGTTATCAGAGGGAGTTGAGGTTTGGTCAGGGGTAGTATATGTGGCATGGGCAGAGTGTTGAGGATGGATTCTGGGGCCTCTAGGGCCAACCCAGTTTTCAGGGTAACCAACAACTTGGAAGCATTTTTCAGAAGGGTGACCATAGCCACAATATGTACAACGAGGCCTTTTCTTTGGGTGAGCTGGTTTGGTATTTTTGAAGTTAGGGTGAGGATTTTGCTGGGAAGTTTTAGCAATCATGGCCAAGGATTCTGGGGGATTTGTAGTGTTGTGGAGGGTTCTTTGTGTCTCTTCTTGTAGGAGGATGGAGTATATTTTGGATAATGGTGGCAAAGGGGTGGATAAGAGGAAATGACTGCGGAGTGGAGAGTAAGAATCATGTAATCCAACAAGGAACTTCATAATAGAATCTTGTTGCTGACAGACAGCCATTGTCTCAAAGATATTACAAGTACAGGACACAAAGGCGCCACAATTACACTTGATAACAGGCCTAAATGTAACATATTCATCCCAAAGAGCCTTAAACATGTTGTAATACTGAGTAATGGACAATGAACCCTGGTCTATAGTACTCAAAGACTTTTCAAGTTGAAAAACCCTAGGTCCACTGCTCATGGCATATCTAATTTTAATTTCATCCCACACTTCTTTTGCCGAGGTAAAAAACAAGAGAGATTGACGAATTTCTTTTGAGATAGAGTTTAAAATCCAAGACAACACCAAGTTGTTAGCACGCACCCATGAAACATAAAGAGAGGATGTGTTACCAGATGGAGAGGTGTAGGTAACGTGCCATCAATGAATCCACTCTTGTTTTTTATGCTAAGTGCCATCTGAACGGCCCGAGACCAAGAGACGAAGTTGACGCCATTGAAGAGCTCGACAATGATTAATGCTCCTGGATTATCACTAGCGTGTAGGTAGTATGGAGATGATGGATCATCTGTAGGATTGACAGCAGCCATGACAGAATCGAACAAATCGTATGGTTTCAACACAAATCGAACAAATCGAGGAAATCAAAGTCAAAATCGTACAGATCTAATCAAAAATCGTACAGATCGAGACAAAAATCGCATCAATTTAGATCGAAAATTGAAGAACAGAAATAGATCTGGAAAAAAATGAATCGTCTCAAAGAGGGAGACGAGAAACAATCGAAGAATCAGAGATAAAGGACCGTCTCAGAGGTGGAGACGTATAGGTGCAGCGGAAAAACTCAGGAATCACGGCGAACGCCGGGGACTGATACCATGATAGAATCGAGATTGAGCATAGAGAGAAGAACAAAAAGAGACTTGTATTTTCTGAATGGAAAAATTAGGGTTTACATGATGATAAGAGCTATTTATACTAAGGGTACATAAGTTGCTATTTACAAACTATTATGAATAATGGAATTAGTTGTCACAACTTATTGACAACTATTAAACTGAAAACAATACAAAATAATATTACATATATTAATACTAGCGGTATATATATTTAGTGAATTTAATTAGTTAAAAAAAACTGATAATTTAATTGATAGGTTATATACGAAAAAAAAAAAAAAAAAAACTAATTCAAATAAACCAAGTTTATCTGGAAAAAAAAATTATAAGCGTGCGCAGCTCGAGTATGACAATGATAAAACGATTTGAAACAGTTTAGGATACTTCTGCTTTTAAATTTGCTTATGTTCTTACTTCTTACTGATGCGTAATAAAGGGAAATTTTGACGCTTCCTATTAGAATTACAAAATATTACATTTTTGTTGATACAAGTCTTATTCTATCTTATAACTAACATGGTATGGAAGATTACAGAAATATTACTTTAATAAAAAAAAAACTATATTTTATTTTGTTTAAATTTTGAATTTTCAATGTAAGTTGCACAAATTTAATCTTATCTAAAATTTTGAGTTATTTCTAAAGTTGATTTAAAAATAAAATTTTTAGTATGATAAAGTATGACGAATGTTGGATTAAAAGATATATATAAAAAATAAAATACAACTAGATGGCCATTCATTTTAAAAAGTATTAGAAATCTCTAAATATCCTAACCAAATCGAACCGTTCTGATAGTCCCGAGAACCGAACCGAACCGAACCAAAAAAAATAAAAATATCCGAACCGAACTGAACAGATTTCTTGTTGGTGGTGGTGGTGGTGGTGGTGGTAGTAGAGTCTTATTTAAAGGCTCATTCTGCTTTGTATTGTGAGAATTGGAGAATGAATTAAAATTGTTGGTGTTCTTTCGGGAGAGTATCTCAAGTTCGAGAGAGTATCTCGTATTTTTCTCATTCATTCACGCTTTCGCTACATCAGTTGGTATCCAGAGCCCAGGTACGTTCCACGATGCCGCCAATGAGAGGAAACACTAACGATCCTACCATCGACGACCGATTGCAACGGATGGACGATCGGATTCAAGGTAGGGATGATCGGTTTGACGAACTTTCTACGGGGATCGAGGAGTTACGGGTTTCTATGAGTGCCATGATGAACGAGGTACGTACGAACCGCCAATGGGCTGACCGGGGCCATCGCGGAGGGATGCGCGGAGGTCGTGGGGGTCGAGTTTATGGCGGGGCGCCCCGCCGACGATCACCACCGCCACCGCTGACCGGTGATATTTCTGACGAAATATCGGGGGAACAAAATCAGGACCACGACTTACGGTGGAGTGCTGTTTTCGACAAACCTCCACGCAGGGCCGACGACTGGCGAGCGCGTGGCAACCATGGCAGATATGGCGGATTTCGGCGCCGCGTCGGAGGGATGATGCGCGGTTGCTAAGGGACCGACGGGGAGGTCTGGTTCGACCGCGATGGTCTGGACTCGGACGAGGAAAGGGATGGTTTTACTTCTTATTTTGGGCCTGAAAAGCCACAAGCAGGCTTTGACTTCGAGTTTGAAGATTCCCCGGATTTCGAGCCCGACGCGTGCGATATGTACGACGGTTCGCCGATTTTCTTTAAGGAGCTTTTGGGGATGGAGTCGCGTATATGCGACGATATGGGTCCCGTGTGGTACGTAGCGGAGGTTGAACCTTCGATTCAGCGACTATCGGTCGGACCCGATTTCTGGCGATTTCTGGCGTCTCTTGTCCAACAATGGTGTTTGGGAGCCGCAGACAAGGCTTAATAACTGGTGGTCCATTTTTCAACTGTCTATCACAATGTCTGCAACCAACGGGATGCTTGGCCGTAATTATGAATTTGAGCGCGGCGACTGTTGTGGTATATTTGATGTTAATTATGTTGTGTGGGATATGCGTATGGAGGCATGTGCATGTGCCTTTGCATTAGCTCATTCCTTGCCCAAGCTTATGTTTACCTTCGATGTTGTTGGGCGTTCTTCAAGCTTCGTGTTCGATCGAGTACGGCGCGGGACACACTTCTCCAACGGAAACGGGTCGGATTTGAGGCCGAATCCTGCTTCCATCGGAGGAGAATAATGGAGAATATATATGATTAAAATTATTATTATTATTATTATTATTATTATTAGTAGTAGTAGTAGTAGTAGTAGTAGTAGTTTGGAAAATAAGTTATATTCACTAAAAAAAAAAAGAGTTCTAGTGAAGATTTTTTCTGTCACTATATCTACAATTGTTGTCACTATATCTACTGTCAGTGTATCTACAATTGTTGTAGATATAGTGACAACAACTGTAGATATAGTGACAGTAGATATAGTGACAACATAGTGACAAAAAAATTCTTCACTAGAGCTCTATTTTCTTGTAGTGATTTAGGGTTAGAGTCTTATTTAAAGGCTAATTCTGCTTTGTATTGGGAGAATTGGAGAATGAATTAAAATTGTTGGTGTTCTTTCGGGAGAATATCCCAAGTTCGAGAGAGTATTTCGTATTTTTTCCATTCGTTCACGCTTTCGCTACTTCAAAGTCGAGCTCGCTAAAGCTCGTTTCGTTGATGAGTCAGGCTCAACTCGGCTCGTTAAAAATTAAATTTGACTCGAACTCGTTTCGTTAATATTGATAAACGAGTCAAACTTGAACTTGATAGTTAACTCGTTTTCTTAACAACTTGAGCAGACTTGACTCATTAAAGGCTCTCGAGCTCGTGCTCGGCTTGTTTCCCATTCCTATTAAAACCAATGGCAATGGAACCATCTCACTAGCAAAAAAAAAAAAAAGAAAAAAGAAAAAAAAAAAGAACCATAACTCGTAAGTCAACACATTCCTAGTTGTATCAACTAAATTATTTAAAATCAATTATATTATAATTTATAAACATAATATAATTACGCTAAGACAAAAGAAAAAGACAAAAAAAATATCATTTTCACATGAACCTTCCGTCCCACCCCTACCCACCACACGCGGCCGCGCGTAGACTCCACATATTTGACCAGTTACGACTTTCGGACCCGCCGTGAATTTACGACCTTTTTTCCCACTCAAACCTTCTATCAAACACTTGCCTTTCATTCTTCAGAAAGCGATTTACATCACAATTTACAAAATTCCAACACCTGGAGCTCATCGGTTAAGGAAAAAGGGAAAACGACATGGCGAATTCAACTGTCAGGGCCTACCAGGAGCGCCTGCCGGCGGTCCCCGAATGGTTGAATAAGGGCGACAACGCGTGGCAGATGACGGCGGCGACGCTCGTCGGCCTCCAGTCCATGCCTGGCCTCGTCATCCTCTACGCCAGCATCGTCAAGAAGAAGTGGGCCGTCAACTCCGCCTTCATGGCGCTCTACGCCTTCGCCGCGGTCCTCATCTGCTGGGTCCTCGTCGGCTACCGCATCGCCTTCGGCGACGAGCTCCTCCCTTTCTGGGGCGAAGGCGCCCTTGCCCTCGAGCAAAAGTACTGTAAAATCAACAGTAAATCTTCAATTTCTCGAAATTTGTAACCTAATTTAGAAATTGGATCCGCGCAGGTACCTGACGAGGCGCGCCGCCGTGCCGGAGAGCACGCACTTCTACTCGAACGGGACGGTGGAGACGCGGATGAACCAGCCGTACTTCCCGATGGCGACGCTGGTGTATTTCCAGTACACGTTCGCGGCGATCACGACAATCCTGCTGGCCGGATCGGTGCTGGGGAGGATGAACATCAAGGCGTGGATGGCGTTTGTGCCGCTGTGGCTGATCTTCTGCTACACGGTCGGCGCGTACAGCCTTTGGGGCGGCGGGTTTTTGTACCACTGGGGTGTCATCGATTATTCCGGCGGCTACGTCATTCACCTTTCGTCGGGGATTTCTGGATTCACGGCTGCGTATTGGGTACTACTGTTTTTTTTTTCCTTTTTCTTTTTTGTTAATACTATTATTTTTTCTTTCTTGTTCTTTTCCTGACGAAATTACCCTTGAGCGGAAAATTCATTCCGATGGTCAGGTTTTTGCCGGGAAATCAACACGCACTCGTAAACAGGATTGAATAGAATTATTAAAAGAAATCAGTCGCTCATGAGCTTGTCTTAGCTCGTTTATTCATTTAATAAACAAGCTAAGTTCAAGTTCATTACGATATCGAATCGAGTTCGGCTCGTTAATGTACGAAATAAAAAAAAAAAAAATTTATACTCCCTTATATTTTTTTTAAATGTCATTCTAGCTTTATCAACTATTTGTCAAATAAATGTCGTTTTGAATCTTTTCTACATATTTTTCCATTATTACTCTCATTTAGCTAATAAATACATTACAGTCTTTTCATATTCACTTTCACTTTTTCTCAAAACATTCATCTCTATCTTCATTAAATAAATTTATTATTGACAAAAAAATATTCTTAATTAACGTGCAACTTCTCAAAACGACATATATTAAAAATAGGAGGTAGTGTAATTTGTTATCGTTTCGCGAGTTCGGTGCATTAAGACTAGATTGCGACTTGTTTGTTCATAAACAAGGCAAGCTCAAACTCAATCACACTGACTCGTTTAGTTAATGCGTTTAGTTTGAGCTGAGTCCGACTCCGCTCATTAAAAGCTCGAGCTCAAGTTCGAATACCCTGAGCTCGAGTTTGGATCAGCTTGTTTACAGCCCTAGGATCGAACTTGCATTAAGCTTAGTCTTTTGTTTCATTTTTTTATATTAAATTCTTCCTAGAGATTACTAGCATCCCTTTAGTTTGACCTTTAAGTTAGCTGCAAAATGTGGTTCTTTAGTTTAATCTGAATCCAGTAAAATCATGACATTATATACTCATGTGCAGCTAGAAACAAGTACTTGCAAGTAACATTATTATAAATTATTTTGTTTTCTTTAATTTCTCTAATTGTTTCTAAGTAGTTTTCCTCACAGTTTACTCATTGAATTCTGTTAATTCGCTACAGGTTGGGCCGAGGTTAAAAGCTGACCGGGAAAGATATGTTCCGAACAATATACTGCTGATGCTTGCCGGGGCCGGGCTGCTGTGGATGGGCTGGTCGGGCTTCAATGGCGGGGCACCTTATGCTGCAAACATAGTTTCTTCCATAGCCATCCTAAACACAAACATATCGGCAGCAACAAGCCTTCTTGTGTGGACATCGCTCGATGTTTTCTACTTCGGGAAACCTTCGGTTATAGGGGCCGTTCAAGGGATGATAACCGGGCTCGCCTGCATCACACCTGGTGCAGGTACTTGATAAAACGAGCCTTTTTCCAAATATACACAAGTTGTTCCTAGGCCTGTAAACGAGCCGATCTGAGCTCGAGCTCGAGTACTTGGCTCGACTCATTAAATAAACGAGTCTTTTTTCTGACTATACATAAGTTGTTCCTAGGCCTGTAAACAAGTTGATTCGAGGTCGAGCTCGAGCCTTTAACGAGCCGAGTTGAGCTCAGCTCGTTAAATAAACGAGCCTGAAATCGAGCTCGGAATAACGAGTCGAATTCGAGTCTTAATGAGTCGAGCTCGAGTTTTAACGAGCCAAACTATAGAAAATTATATAAAAATTATCTTTTCGAGTTTTATCGAGTCGAGCTCGTCTTGTTAACTAAGCGAGTTTTAAATGAGGTCGAGTATAAACGAGTCGAGTCGGGCTCGTTTAATTTAACAGCACTAGTTTTTGCCAACCGACCTGACAAGTCAAAAATGATTCGAAAGGTTGATTTTGAACTCACGACCATAAGATGCCTAATAATTATTAGACAATCATATTTTCTTAATAAAAAAATATATATATATATATTTATATGATGAAATGTGTAGTACTTTATATAGTTAAATAAATAAAGGGTGACCTTTTAAGTATGAATTTATGTTAAAATGTTGAAAAAATATGATCATTAGAGAGTCTAAAATGAGCATTACCGAATTTGAAAATGGGTTTAATTGAAAGAGAATGTTTGAGCAATAGGTGTGGTGCAATCGTGGGCGGCTATAGTTTACGGCGTGCTTTCTGGGAGCATTCCATGGTACTCGATGATGATTCTTCACAAAAAGTCAACTTTGTTACAGAAGGTATTTTTAGTTTTAAATGTTTTTTTTTTTTTTCACTATTCCCTTTGCACTCATTCATATTTATCATCATTAGTTGTACACTTATGTTTGTTGATTATATCATAATATGGTGAGCTTGGACTTTCTCATGATAAGTAAATATTGTACATCAACAAAGTCCACTTGTCTCCACTAAAATTCTAAACATTTTTCATTATTGTTGAATTGCTTAATTCCCCCGATTAAACCATTCAAACTTTTGGAAATAATCTTCTTGAAATACAACTAATGAAGAAACACGCAAATTCTTGTGCTGAGGCGCCCATCATTCAGCGGGTCGACCCGACCCGCCTTACAATTTTTCATTAAAATTGCATACTTATATTATCAAATGTCGCTTTGTTGTATAATTTTTCATTAAAATTGCATACTTATATTATCAAATGTCGTTTTGTTGTATATTGTTTTGTAAAGTATGCCATTTGTTTTCAAAAGTATAATATTTGTGAAAAGAGTCTGTTTTGCTGTATATTGTTTTGTAAAGTATGCCATTTGTTATCAAAAGTATAAATATTTGTGAAAAGAGTCTGTCAACCTACGAGCCAATTAAAGAAAGATTGTTTATGTATCGTTCCAATTTTGTCAAGGTGTCCCCGAAGGGACTTCTTAGCACCTCTATTTTATTTGCACTTCTATACAATTCTATCTATTGCCGTTACATGCTATAGGTCGACGACACGCTGGCCGTGTTCTACACGCACGCAGTTGCCGGAATCCTCGGCGGCCTCCTGACCGGCCTATTTGCCCACCCGACTCTTTGCAGTATGCTTCTTCCAGTCACAAACACGAGAGGCGCCTTTTATGGGGGCGGTATCCTATTCGTGAAGCAGCTTGTGGCGGCACTTTTCATCATCGGTTGGAACTTTGTGTCAACAACCGTGATTCTGCTTGTAATCCGGCTACTTCTGCCGCTGAGAATGCCAGAGGAGCAGCTGATGATCGGGGACGATGCAGTACACGGGGAGGAGGCGTATGCATTGTGGGGAGATGGTGAAAAGTACGACTCGGCTAAGCACGGCTGGCATAACCCGGCTGAGGAGATTGCTCGACCGGCTGGGATTTTCAATGGGGCTCGTGGGGTGACTATAGATTTGTGAGCTGCTGTTTTGGTGTGATTTGCTTGTTGTGTGTGCATTTTGTGAGAGAGGTTTTACTTGTACCACTTAAAAGTGTAATTCTTGTATCCTTATTCTTGTATTATGCTTAGTTTGCAGTACAAGCTGTCTGTGTACTCTTCTCTTCTGTTTTTAAATCATGATCTTGAAGAAGCAACTACTAGATGAAAAGATTAACAAAAAATCTACAATCCGAACATATACTTAGCCACACTGTTCCAAACAAGAAGCTCTTTAGTCGAACAAGACTGAAGAAGAAGAAGAAGAAAGAATCCAAACACTGCAGAGTGATCTGTGCATGCTGCTAAGTAAGTTTGAAATTTCTCAACTTCAAGGCATCCAGTATCTCCACGAGGTTCTGGACTCGACGAACCTAAGTAAAATCAAGTTTTAAAAAAAAAACATATATATAAATAAATGGTCCGGCAATTTATTCACCAATGAGTCTGATCTACTCGGAAAAGAAGCTTGAATTTCAATTTCTGTACGAACTAACCTAAGATAGTTTTTACTGACACTACAATTGAACACTAACCTCCATCTTTCTCTCGACTCTCCCTTCTCTTTCGGCTTCAATGCCGTCCAATTTAAGCAATTGCCTCATTAGCATTTCGGTCAAATAAACGATTTCCTTATCTTCAACCTTAAGTCTGCGGTCCACAAGAGCTTGCAAAGATGACACCTGATACCAAATAATAAATCGAGAAGTCATAATATTTTCCACATAACCCGAAAAAAGGAAAAAAAAAACGAGAAGAAAAATAATGAGATAACGAAATGAGATCAACCTGTTGTGCGAGCTTGTCAACCTCTTTCCTAACTTCAGAAACAGCTTCTTTCCCTTTCGACTCAACTTCTTCATGGCTTGCTTGCTCAAATGCCTCAGCCTCCATGAGCAACACCTCACAATAGTCCGTTAGACCTGCGGTCTGTAGATCCTCATCGTCTTCTTTCTCACTACCTCTGAACAAGAGTTTGTGCTTCTCGGGCCTCAAACCAATTTGTTGACATATAAAAGACTTGAGATAACCTGTATCAATCAAAATAACTACTCAACCAGCAGACCTTGAAATAATAGTTGTTAAAAGCAACTCATTTACAATCAAATGAAGTGAGGAATTTCGACCCAAAAAAATAAATCTCCCATAAGATTAGGAAAAAACGATATCAAAAATCAATTGCAACAGTCTTAACACAATAAAAGCTAATGCCTTGTTTGTTACACTGCATAAGAAAGATAATAATCAGGCTTAATGTTGAATTTATGCCATGTACGAAAGTCGATGAGATAAAATCTCGATGTATAACAGTGTTTTCCGGTCTCCACACGGTCTGTTACGAAATCGGGCATCTCTGAGATCACCACAAGATTTGATCTTTGAATTCAACACACTCAAGAAAATAGATTGGTAGCAGCTAATACTTCATGTATAATCTATCTTACACAAGCATATGAACTGAATAAAATAGCCCATATAAGCACGAACAATAAGGTTGCTACTAGGCAGTCATTACTTTTTTTACTTCATGTCATACTCTAGAAAAATAATATAAACAAAAATAAGACATTTCATGCTATTTTTGTTAAAAAAAAAAAAAAAAAAAAAAAAAAAAAAAAAGGTACGACGGGTCGACCAGTCTAACGGTTAGACGAGCAAGAAATGATTTAGCTCCCTCATGTTTGATGATTGATATTCCAAACAGAAACGAACGAAAAATCACGAAAAAAATCGATCACGCGAGTAACGAACAGGAACTCAATCTACTACAGTTTGGCTGATAACATAAGTCAAAACAGATCAAACGAATAAATCAGTTGATATGTTAGTGATAAAAAGAGGAAGTACCAAAGCTAGAGCTGAATGGCACGAATACTTGGTAGTGGTTAAGCCCGTGAGAGAGCTTGATGTTGATAGTAGCCGGGCCTTGATCGGGCAAAAGGCCCAGCCCGATTACTCCATTTTTCCTACAGTTTCCTGGGCTTGGATTCAAAGTCTTCATTAGCAAACTTTCTTGATAAATTGCTCAGAAAATATTTACAGGATAATAATTTTAACAGAAGGTGCTGTTCCGTTGACTTTGAGTTTTGACGCCGGATGTTTTAATTGGTGAGTAGACTAATAATGATCACGGTAATAAACGTGTTATTATGATAATTGCTGCTTTCGTTATATGTGAAGGGTCCCGTAGCTCAGTTGGTTAGAGCGTTGGTCTTATGAGCCGAAGGTCGCGGGTTCGAGCCCCGCCGGGACCATTTTCTGGTAACCATTCTTATATATATTTTTTAAGAAAGATATGCGGATATTTTATTGTAATTTTTGTTATATTTTGTAGCTTTTTATATTTATTCAACTTTTTATCCATTGATATATTTATTTGGTTGAATAACACCAACAGTCAGCAGAATTAATTGTACACCATTTTCATAGTGTTTTGTCACATTTTTTATTTTTTTTTTGCATTAAGAGAGATACAAATATTAAGGAAAAATAAAGCCCAATAGCACATAACGATCTTAAAATGTACATACATACCATTTTTTTAGACTTTGTTCTTAGTGAAATTATTTGGTTAAACTATGACAAACACATATATATAGCTAAAAATATATGCATATGATGAGACGCTATCAAATTATTATTCTCTTGAAAGGTACAATCTTTGACTTGGCCACCCCTAAATTTATGTAATTTTGATTACGTTCTTCAAAAGTCGAAACATATATAGCATTCATATGAATTTATTCTGTGTATTTTGTTATTTGATTTTTTCTGTTTCAATGACAGCTTACCTATCTTTTGGCTCAATTTTGCTACAATTGGTTTGCTCTTTCGTCATTGGTCATCTCCAAACTCTGAAATAAGGCCAATCAAAATGAGTCGTTTGTGAGCCCGACTCGTTAAGGCCAGCTAGAGCTCGTTATCCTATAGGCAAGCTCGGCTCGAAAAGATGTTTTTTTGTATATATACTTGTCTATAGTTTGGCTAATTAAAACTCCAACTCGAGCTCAACATTTGCTTATTATGAAAACATTCCAAATAATCAATCTCAGCTTACACAAACATTCCAAAAACATTATTTCTTGATCAAAACCAAAGTAAGGCGACTGACTGCACTACATCTATACAAAGATATCATAAAGAATGAAGAAAAGAAAAGAAAAAAAAAAAAAAAAAAAAAAAAAAAAAAAGATTTCAACAGTTCTCCAAATAGATCACCAACAAAGAAGAAGATGATGATGATGTAGCTTGAGTTTGAGGAGAAGAAGAGAATATAGGTGGTGAAAAATGGCATGTACACTTTGGATTATGCACAGCTCGTTTCAACCGAACGTCCATTTTCGTGCAGAAAACACAGTACTTCCCTCCGAATTCATCGCCATTCTCTTCATCATCTCCCTCTTCCTCATCATCATCATCATCATCATCACTCGTCCGCTCTTCAATGTTCTCAACCTTACTGTCACACCTAACGTAACTCACTCCGTACCATGGAAAAACCGTCTTCAACAACCGATCCAGTTTCTCTTCACACTTTTCCCGCCAAACCTTACAGAAAACGAGAGGCGCCACTACCAACGATGCCCCGACCCCAAATCCCAGCCCCGTAAATATGAACTGCCAATCGAATCCATGCTCATTTAATCCCGGCCCTCTGTTTTCCTCCCTGTTGTTTATTAAATCGCAACTTGTATTCAGAGGAAACCCGCAAAGCCCTGCATTTCCTGCAAAATTCTCAGCCGAAAACGTCTGCAATTGCGAACCTCTCGGGATTCGACCTGCGAGCATGTTGTATGAAAGGTTCACGAACGATAGAAAATTGAGGCCCGCGAGCTCGTTCGGTATTCTCCCCGTTAGTCGGTTAACCGAGAGGTCCAACGACCCCAGCTGACTCAGATTCCCAACCGAGCTCGGAATATTCCCGGTGAGCGAATTGTGAGATAAGTTGAGAACATAAAGAGAAGTTAGGTCGCCTATCGTCTTCGGTATTTCCCCACTGAAATTGTTGCACGAGAAATCGATGGCCGTGAAAACTTTCAAAATCTTGACGAGCTCCAGCTCGAGTCCTTTTATCGTGACCGTGACTGTATCTTGGTAATAAAATCTATTCATGAGAAACGCGAACCGTAAGTGATCGTTCTTGTTCGCCTGATTCGAATCCATACTGCTTTCGAGAGTCATTCCTTTCCAGCTGGCGATGCATTTGGGGTACAACTCGCCAGAGAATTTATTATAAGCAATGTCGATAATCTGAAGATTCGGCCAGCTCCCGTTTATCGCGGGACATCTCAAGTCCCCGTAAAATCTATTGTGCCTCAAAACGAGCACGCGTAGGCTCGAAGAGTTTTTCAGCATGCAAGGAAATCTATCTTCGATTCTATTGTTTCCAAAGTTTATAACTTCTAAATACGCGCAATTAGCCAATGATTGTGGAATCTTCCCCTTCAAGTTATTATTACTCATGTCCAGAGTTTTCAGACTGCAGCCGACTGAAAATTTGTCGGGGATGAACCCGTTTATACGGTTTCTCCCCAAATTCAACACCCCGAGAGTAGTACTTCGGTTTAAGATCAAGCACGAAGGTATATTACCATCCAAGTGATTTCCGGACAAATCGAGAACTTGAAGGTAAGCCGAATGACAAAGTGACTCGGGGATTTTTCCGGTGAGGTTATTGTTCGCGACAGATAAAAATATGGCGAATAGACTGAAGTTGCCTATATCGGGTGGGATTGTGCCTGTAAAACTGTTGTTTGAGTAATCTACGTAGGCAGCTGATTGTGGTGGCATTGGGAGCTCGCCTCCGAGCAAATTCGAGCTCAAGTCGAGCACGCTTATATAACGGGAGATATTGAGTGGCCTTTGGAAATCGAGTAAGAGATTGTTCGAAAGATTTAAATGGGAAAGTCTTCCATTTCCCACATTCCAAATCCAACTAGGAATTTCCCCCTCGATGAAGTTATTCGAGAGGTCCAAAAACGTCATTTTCGATTGGTTTATCAAGCCCGGGAAGCGGTATAAATTGCACGAAGCAAGATTTAATCTGCTTAGCTGGGGCAAACTTGTCGTGAGGTCCCAACCGATGCTTGCATCTACTGTCAAGTTGTTGTATCCGAGCTCCAGTCTCGTAAGATTGCCAAGCCTTTGAAAATTTTCGAGCTTTATGGTGCCGTTGAACAAGTTGAAATCAAGCGAGAGGACGCTGAGTCGTGTGAGTTCGAATAGAGACATTGGAATAGGGGCCGTGAGCTCGTTATTGCTTAAATCGAGTGTATCCAAGTTTGTAGCGTTTGAAGTCGAAAATTCATCTACTCGGCCGCTGAATTTGTTGTTCGAAAGCTGCAGTTTCTGTAATAAAGGGAGGCTAAAGAGAGAACTCGGGATGCTTCCATTCAGTAAATTGTACCCTAAGTCAACATACGCAAGACTCGAAAGTCCCTCGAAATGCGCGTGGGACAACGAGCCCGTCAGAAGGTTTCGGCTGAGGTCAACGTAGCTGAGATTCTTCGAATTCCGAAAAGGCGGAATTAAACCGGTGAACTCGTTGTTCGAGAAATCGAGGTAAACAAGTTCCGTCATGTTCGCCATCTCCGGTGGAATATTCCCGGTGAACTTGCAGTTCGCAACATCTATCTTAGACAGCAGTTTTAGATTCACAATGCTATCTGGTAATGAACCGGACAAATTAGTATTGGTAAGAACCAATGTCCTTAACAAACTACCCTTTTGAAACTGTCGAATCGTACCACCGAGCAAATTATTGTTCGACAAATCCAAAACTTGTAGAGTGGGTACCTGAAAAATAACTTCCGGCAAGGAACTGGTTAACGAGCAGCCGCTAAGCGTCAAAACCGTTAAGTTCGAGAAGCTCGCCAGAAATTCAGGAACCGATGTCGACAGATTGTTGTTGTCGAGCTGGATAACCGAAAGCGAGCTCATTTTCGAAACGTCACTATTGAGTGGGCCAGCCAGGTCGCAGCTGCGCAGGCTCAAGCTCGTCAGGTTCGGGAGAGAAGACGAAAGAGCTCGACCCCAGTCGTTATTCCGAGCCGAAATATTGACGGCATCGAGATAGAGCTCTTTAAGGCCCGTGAGGTTCCGAACGAGCGTCCTCAAGTCCGGGCTTTCGAGTTTCAGAGGCTCGGCAACAACAAACAAGCTGGAAAGATCGAGAACAGTCAATTTTGTCAACTTGGAAAGCTCGATCGGAACCTGCCCGCCAAAACCGGCGTTGGAGAGATTCAGGTACACCAAATCCGTGAGATTTTGAAGCCCTTTCGGGATATTCGAACCTAGGAAGCTGTTGGAAGCTAAATTCAGCTTCTTCAGGTAACGAAGCTCGAAAAGGGCTGTCGAGTTGTCGAGGCCACCGGATATGTTTTTGTTTTGGAGGTCCAAACTGATGACGCGGCCCAGCTCGTCACAAACTATCCCATCCCAGCTGCAGCAGTCAACGGATTGACTCCAGGTGATTAACTTCGTGGAGAAGAGAGGGCGCCCATAGTCGAGGCTATTATTCAGCTGCAGCAAAAGTGACAGCTGTTCGTCGAGACATTGTGCGGAAACCCGAACGAGGCGTGGGCTATGGAGCAAAGGTATCAAGAGAAGACATGAAAGGAAGAGTTGGATTCTCATTGAGCTCCGTCGTGAGGTGATGGTGTTTTCGGAATATAATCCATCAAGACTACAACTTCACGGTGTTGGGACTAAGGACGAGGCCAATTTTTGTGATTTTTTGGAAAGAAATGTATGGTTTTGTGTGTGTGTGTGTGTGGAGAAAGAAAGTGGATGCAGACAAATGGTGAGAAAGATGATGGATGGATAGACCAGACAGGGACTTTTCCAAAACAAAAAACAATGGAAGTTGTGTGTGTGTGTGTGTGTGTGTGTGTGTTGTAGAGATAATAATATTCAACGCGTTTATGGTCGGGCCGCGCCAATATATTATATGGTATAGATGACTTTGGGAGACTAGTTTATTTATCGTGTGACAGTGCCAATTGTACAAAGACTTGTGATGAGCCGTTTGTTTTGAATTCAGATGTTGGCATTTCCATGCCATCTCTCTCTTTTTTTTTTTTTTTTTTTTTTTTTTTTTTTTCAATTATTGGTCTTTAGAGTCCATTGCAAATGGAGTTGAAATAGTCAGTGTTGACAATTTTTCTGGCATCGTGCAAATAATGGACTAGATCAAAATGGTTCAATTAAATTCTAGTGCTTCTTCTATTAGTGAAGTTTCTAGAAAAAATATATCAAATGACGCAACGCACCTTGGATCGCTATGGAAACAGCCTCCTTGTATTTTACAAGGGTAAAGTTTGCGTACAACTGACCCCCCAGACCCCAACCTGTTTGGGAATATACTAGGTATGTTGATGTTGATCAATTATTGGTCTTTGGTTGATGGTTGTTAACAGACTGATAAAATTAGATATTTGACTCATCAAATCTGCTAACTAGTTTATTTGATAAAGAGTTTATTTGATTAACTTTTTAATCGAAAACGTTAATTCTGAAAAAGCTAAATATATAAATATTTTGAGGAAGAGAGATGATATAATAAGTGAATGACATAAAATTATAAAACTAGATATATACAAACCTGTTATTTATCAAACAAACTGAATGATACAATCAGCTAGTGAGTTGGGCTTAATTAATTTTCTATTCGTCTCTCATCAAAAGTCGTTGACAACGGCGGGTAAGAGAAGGAAGAAGACATAATAATAAGTCCCTTTCTCTCATTATCGTCCTAAAATGACATGAAATCAACTGTTTGCGTGCCCTTTTGGGTGGGTTATGCGCCAATAGTATATAACAAGAAGTTGGCTTTCTACAACACATGACACCAAATTTCTCTTTTCCTCAGTCAAGAAATACTAGTCCAAAAGATTATTTAAAAAAAAAAAAAAAAAAAAAAAAAAAAAAAAAAAAACTAATCAATGGTAAAAAAAAATTCTTCATTTAAAGTTTACATCGACTGTGTCAAAAAAACTATTATCCAGAATGCCAAAAATTCGTGCCTACCGGTGAAAAACTACACTCAACATGAATTTTTCATTGTTGGATCAACAACACACCCATAGCATAGCATTGGCCTGACCGGGAACCAACATTCCCAAAAGTACTTGCCAATAAAAGGCACTAATACTGCTTATTCCCAGCTAGGCTCAGTGATAAATTTCCCGTATAACCAGCAAACATTTGATAAAATATTCACGAAAATACTTGCAAGATTCAAAAGTTAACAAGAATTTCCGATGTTTGATTAACATGTTACACTTTATCTCAAACTATTAATCGTAAACAATGACAAGCCTCATCAAATATTGTTATTCTCCCACCTTATTTTTCTATAAATAAGGGACGTGGATTTTTTTTTTCTTTTTTTCTTTTGTCAAAATATTCTAACACTCAAGGAGGATGCATGCAGTTTTAAATATTCTTTGGCCTGTACAAATATTTCCTTGTGAAAATACTCACTTGTTTACAAAGACAATTGACACTCAACATTCAATAAGATGGCACTACTGATTCTGAACTTCTGATGGATTAGATAATTTTGTACAATCCCATACAAGAGTTTATTCAACCCTATAAGAGTTATTCATCAAATCACAAGCAAACAAAAAACCAAGTATACGCAGGATAGGTGAAATTCACCGTATAGGAATTTATTCTCGAACTAGCAGGCAATCTGCATTAAAATATTAAATACCAATAAAGGATTCTTATTCTCAGACACGCAGAGCCAAAATCCAATGTGCAACAAACATCAAGCAGGATCAAGGATCAAACAGCCAGAGACCACGTTTTGCACACCAAAACAAGCACCACATTTTTTCCTATAATCTGTTTGAATGCCAAAATCTGAATCATAACGTCACAGAATAAAGAATTGCTCAATAGACAGATGCTTATCCACACTCAATTTAGCTCACACGGACTTGTTACAAAGTTACCCAAACAACTAATTCGAATACCTTGAAGCTCATTCTTATTTACAAGTAGCTAATACATACACCAGCTTGTAACACACCAATTGCGACTGCAAATGATTCAACAATTACAATCACCTATGTTGAATCTGATCTAATCCCTGCCGTTATTCTAAATTCTAACCCATGAATAAAATCCAGCGCTCAGATTAATAAGCAAACACAAAAGACTACAATTTGTAAGCCACCACCATTTCCAAAAGCTTTCTATCAAACATCATCAAGATTCAAACGCATTTCCCACCACATTCGACAAATGGATCTACAAATGCGAGGCACATACTTCTCACACTCCACATGAACACAGAGAAATTCAGTCAACAATTAACAAAGAAAACACAACTTACCAACACATCATCATGTTTTCAACCAAAAAGCACACCATAACATGGAAAAAACTGATTTTTGAATAATAATAATAATAAGCTCAGCTGATAAATAGTTGATACATGAAATGTAGTTCTGAAAATTCGCTACTACATATTGAGAGTTCACAAATCAGAAAGCATTACATGGGAAATAAAAGGCCTATTACTTGGATCTCTGCCTCATCTTTCTACGCTTCCTCTTCAACCTCCTCATACGCTTCTTCTTCCACTGCAAAACACCATGAAAACATCAGCAAAATAAACAAAACAAATAGAGAAAGAGATTAAGCGCTAGCTAAAGCAACAATAATCGAGGATGATTAAGTGGGATCGTCTTGAGACACTTTACCTTGGCCCTCATGAGTGGAACAGAATCTCTGATGAAAGAATGCCCCTTCCTTGTGGAACCCTAATAATAACAGTAAAGGTGGAATATTTGGAGCGATGAAAAAACCCTAGGAACTTGCTCTAAATTACATATATTGTAGCCCTTTTAAGCATAAAGCATGGGCCTGAGAGTTTGGGCTGGTTATGACTTAGGAAAATTGAATAAATTCGAAGTTGACACTTAATAGAATTGTTATGCTATATGATATGAATGAAAATCATTTGGTAAAAATAAATGATAAATTATTTAAAGCAAAAAATCTTTGAAATGATTAAGTATTTATAATATAACTTATCTAATATACTAGCTTATAATGATAAACCATACAAACTTTATGTATAGACTATAGTAATAATATTGCGCGATCGAGGGGCTCGTGTTTTACATGATAAAAAATTACACAATTTATTTTCAAATTTCATTTGATTTCTTTACATTTACAAGTTTCTCTTTTTAATACAATATATTAACTTTTATAGTTCATGGCTAATTAGTTTATAATTTAATTTAAGTTCAGATTGATTTGCTATTTAGTTTTTATATTGATTTCTAAGCTCATGAATGGTTGATCTGTAATTTATTTTTTATACTAATTTCTAAATTGCAGTATTTTTTTTTCATGATTAATTTGTGAATGATTGATATATAACTTTATTTTAAATATATCATTTTAACAAATTTTCAAAAAAAAAAAAAAA